GCTCCGTGAGTGGGTTTTTATCTCTTTCTAGAGGCTTTAACATTGAAAGGTTCTTTCCCTATTATAAATTACTGTACGATTATGGTGGCGGTCTAACGTGGTGGAGTCAAAGCAGGAATGCTTGCCTTCACGACCAATTCCTCCTTCTTCCCCTTCGGCCCTAATTGCAAATGTTTGCGTGTGAAGAAAAATTCCAATCAGTTCCTTGCAAGTCATCAATGCCCTCCCCATGCACCACTTCCAATCAGACATCACCTAACCCTCTGCCCCTCTGTATCCGGTCAGAGGAGAAGGCCAAACCCCCACAGATTGTGGACTCCTTTCTGTATCCTCAATAAAAGGCCACTTTCTCTTTTTTAGCTTCTCTATTGAGCCAGAAATCTCTAACAAATATGTGCTCCTATGTGCGAAGAAATCCACGTATTATTCTTTCAAGGTCATCTCTGAGTTCTCCTAAAGAAGGTTTCTCTTTTCCTTATTCCAAGGAAATTGATTGTATAACTGTCTTAGTTACTTTTTACTCGTTGCTGAGACAAAATACCTGAAGCTCAAGTTGGGAAAGGAAAGGTTTATTTCTTACAGTTTTTGGAGGTTTCAGTCCACACTCAGTTGGCTCCAAGGCAGGCGGGCATGGCTGGGATGCAGTTCATGGCGGCTGCAAACAGCAAACAGGAACCAACAAAGAGCAAGACACACCTTCTTCCTGCCATTACATCACATCCTGGCTCCACCCCTATATGGGTGTAGCACTGACACCATCAATCCAAGCACTAGCCAATGAATCAATCACAAATACACAATGCAAACTCATGAGGCCTGGGGGACACAGACATAAACCATGACAATACCCTAGGTTACCATCAAGGATTTTTGGTTCCTGGGAAATCCCAGAAGGCTGCCTGCCCACTTCGCTAGGGGCTTTCCTTGTAGATTAGGGAGCAGAGATGCTGAGAATGGGGAAGGCATAGGTTGGATTGAGAAGGCAAGTGGTTGGCTGCCATCACTGTGTAAAAACTTTAGGAGGCACAACCTGGCCCACTCCCATCATGCACTGGGGAGCAGGAGCATTTTACAAAGTCCAGATCCAGAATTGTGTTTTTATTTGTTGAACCTGAGAGAAGATGCACAAGTGAAGCATCCCAGGCTGCAAATGTCTGTGCTCCTGACTGTTGCCAGCCCTGCCAAGGCTTGTGCCATTTGAACTGTTGGGTAAAGCCACTCGTTCTTTCTTCTTGGCTCCTAAGAAATGACTCTACAGTTCAGTTATTTCATCTCTAGTTCATGTGGGTCTATGTGTGCAAAAATGCATAAAGCATATTTATGAAAAGTCAAATATAACAGCAATTAAATCAATCTAAAAATTTTTTTGCAGGACTGAGAACACAGCACCTTCTCACTCAACTCCCTGATCCCCTTTATTTTGACATAAGTTCTTGCTAAGTTGCCTAGGCTGGGCTTGAACTTGTAATCTGCCTGCCTCAGCCTCCTGGGATACTAGAAATACAGGCATGCAACATCATACCCTGCCTAAATCAATATTTTTCAAAAGTAGTTTCTGAATAGTTAAGATTCTTGAATTTCATGAAGTGGTTAACTCATATCCCAAGATATAACTTAGGAACTGTAGTTCATAAGAGTTTTAGCAAATGTCACTTGAATTTTATAGCAGGATAGTGTACCTGTGATAAGAGCTGGTGAATATGTAAATTACCAGCAGTAAGGTCCGGTGAGGGAGCCACGCTAACCTGATCACCCTTGCCTGGTGTTCGCTAGAGTGAAAGTTTGCATTTTCTCTGGGGCTAAGGCTGGATCCAGGCCTGAGGTTGACACACAAACTTCTTGGAACATGGAAGTGGGTTTAGGGAGTTAAGGGTAACTCTACTCATGACTGGAAGGACCCTTGTTTACAACAACACTTGTATACAAATTAGACCCCATTCTTCAACACTGTCTGGAATGTTTCCACTCCCCATTTATCTCCGTCTCCCATGAATTTGCTCCTTTTGCTGGTTTCAGTCACCATGTGGTGTGTGGCCTGCAGCTCTCCAACCTCTGTTACAGCAAAACGCATTTACAAGTCCATCTCCAAGGTCTGCCCTCCGGCTGTCTTCCGGAAGCAACAAGAGAATGGAAAGGAGGCATCTGGACACAAAGCTGCTGTTCAGGCTCCCTCCCGCCTCTGCTCCAGTGTCCACACTAGCTACCAGCACTGTCTCCCCAAGAATAAAAACCGGTCTTGTCCACATACTCAAGTCCTCGGGGCACTGCTCAGACGTCACATGGCGCCTTACAGATGGTTCCCACTCTTGCCTTCTTGTACGCGTACACTTTTCCCTGTGTGGCCTCTCCCGCCTGGAAAAACAGAAAGACAGACAGACAGACCTATGTCGCCTCTACAGCTCTCTTCTCTTCTCTGTCCTCTTGTGAGATTTCCCTGGTCTCTCACTCTTACCTCTCCCTCCAACACAGAGTCAGACTCCTTCTCCATGTGCCCTCGGAGCACGGTGCTTACAGATTACATTTAACATGGACACATGTATACATGCATACACATGTACATTTCAAAGGTGTTTTGAGTTTTTCAAAGCCTGAGCAGGTCTTCTTCCCACACATATCATGCTGGTTTTAGAAAGCAACTAATTAATCACACAAAGAAATGCAACAAACCCAGAAGAACCGGGGGCTGTGGGTTGTGTTTAGGGAGGAGAATGCGGGATGTGTCCTGGGTTCTAACGAGTTTTGCTTTTTCCTGACTCTGTAAGTGGAGATTAAACACAAACATGCTGAAGCAGGTGGTCAGTGGGCCGGCATGGAATTGCACACGTCCAACTATGCAAGAGGAGGTCACTGTAACACTGGACTCTTAAGCTTCGTTAAACTTTAGGTGACACCGTGTTATTTCTTAATGGAGAAACCACAAGTAAAGAGCATATAGTTGCTGCCTCCACAAGGTGGGGGTTTCATGTCTCTCTACCTACTCCTGCGATGAGAGGTTTAGCTTCTTAAATTTGTTCATTTCAATGCTTGACGAATGTTACCACGCACTTGCCCTTGGCCAGCCTGTGGCAGGCTCTGAAGACGTAACTGAAGCGGGGGCACAGTGAGATGCCCTCACCAAGCGTGCTGGTGGGCACAGTAGGTGGCCTTCACCTTGCCCTGAGCTCTTTTGTTCATGCTTCTTGGAAGGTCCCATTTATGTTTCTGGTTCCACCTGTGCTGTGAACGCCGGCGATCTCATCTGTGGTCATCTCCGTGTGGATCTCTCTCGAGGACCTCAAACACAGTGCCCACAGCTTACCTTGTTACCTTCCTCTGTGGTCTATTTTTCTTTTCCTGGCTTCAGTAAATGTCTTCACCAGACACTTACATTTCAAGTCCTAGAAACAGCAATCACAATGAGTGTTGAGTACCTACCTTGGAGCTTGCACTGTGAGAATATTTTGATGTACATTTTCTGATCTTTGGCATTTTCGTCTTCATACCAACCCTTCACCCACATCCCCCCAGAACCAACCTCACCCCAGTCTGATCGGTTTGGTTGCTACAAAAACTCCTGGTCCCTTTTATCTCCACAGATAATAGCAGATTAAAATTTTCTGAGTCTCTCACGTTTACTTTTAGGGTATCTTTCTCTCCTTCATCTTTTAGAACATTTTTTTGAAGTCTCCGATGCTTTCTCTGTCCTACAGAATGAAGTCTCAGCTTGCTATCCAAAGCCCTACATTATTTGTCCCTTACCTGTTTGCCTAAGCTTATTTTCTTTTATTCCCTCTCTTACCCTAGAACATAGATCTTTAGTAACAGCGACTGACTTATAAAATCAAACCAAACAGGACCCAATCATTTCTCCCATGGTACCTTGCCCGAGGTGTTGATCTTCTTTCTCCTGATCATACTGTGTGGAATCCTGCCCACCCTTAAAAGTCCAGCTCCATCCCCTACCTTCCAGGTTCCCCACATGTCCTTGGGCTGCACACTGTGGTATTAAAAGCCACTCAGGAGTCCAGTGAAGTGCCAGAGGAAGCGCGCTCTCACCTGCACCCATCTTTTGATGCTTCTTTTAATTTCAAATGAGATGATGCATGATGGGTCATCAGCCCCATGCTCCTGGCTTATGACATCCCAAATCTGTGGATGGAGAACATCCCAAACCAATTACCCCTACAGGAGATCTGCTGCCTGATCTAGTTAAAGAGAAAAAGTTATTTGGAACACATAAATGTCTTTTGAAAACCAAACCAAACCTTGTGCTCAGCACGATAGGATTGCTGTGGGAGTTTAAAAGGACAGGGCAGCAGGAATAACTGGGCTACAGAGGATTTCGCTGGACAGAGCACAGGCGTGGAATGACAATCATGGTGATGACATCAAAGAAGTTCTTGAATCCTTATCAGCTGTTCGTTAGGAGTGCGTTAGGTAACCATCCCACTTTGCTGCAGCTGGAACGGAATAAAATAATCCAGCAATGATTATTGTACAAAGGCAGGATGGCCTGAAGGCAGGGCTGTCTGTAGGTGGTGTTAGCGCCTCACCTGCTGACAGGTGAACTTTCATCTGAAAGTCAACAGGCTGAGAAGACAGAAGTAGGGCATAATTTAGGCCAAAGTAACAACAAACTTTACGTTCTCACAATTACAGTGCACCTCTTGGATTCTATGGCAAGTCGCTTTGAAACTCTGATTTTCTAGCAAAGCCATGCACACTCAAGGAGTTACACTAACATTGGAACTGGTTCATAAGTGAGAACTGAAACCACCCAGGGTGCCAACACCAGTGCTCCTCCTGGGAAGAGGCTGTTTCGTTACAGGGTCGGGGAGAGCTGCTCTGGGGACCCTGCAGTTCCCACTCTCTTTTACCCCAGGCTCCCAGAATGCTGTGAGGCCTTCGTCAATCACAGCCTTCTTCAGGCTGCATTTAATTCCTGATCTTCAGGATGCTTCTCAAATGGTTTTACATTTTGCCCAACAGTGAAAGTCTAAGTTTTGTTTTTCCTTTTGTAGACTCACCTTTAATTATGGAGGGAAGAGCAGAGAGAACAGGGGGAACGTGTGAGCTGTTCCACCTGGAGTCTTCCCAGGCCGGAAGAGAGCTAGAAGGTCTGCGGTCAGCATACAAGTGAAGCTCGATAGCCCTCTTTGAAGAAGTGGGCATCTGCTAAAGATCTTTTGGGGTAAGAAAGGCTGTGCTGATGCTCTAAGTCAGGTTTCACAAGAGATCGCTGGTGAGAACTCAGAACTGCATCAGCCCATCAGCTCCAGAGGCCAGGCGCAGTGACACGGGCCTTTCCCAAATGCGGAGGGAGCCTGGGTGCTTTGTCTGAGTGCCTGGATTGGCTGACTTGGGGCAAGGAGAGCTGTACGTGAAGGCAGAGCCTGAGGTGCACTGCAGAATGTCTACACCGCCTGCGCACCAAGCAGCCTAGGCTACATTTTGCCTGCCCACCAGCAGTGCCCAGGTAACCTGAGCTATGCGCTGTATCTCTCCATTGTTCTCAAGGGTGTTCGAATCCTTCTGTTGTCCCAGGCACTGAGAGCCACTCCAAAGCCAGTGAGGAGAGCAGGGCAGTGCTTCCTGGTGTTGTTACACCCTGTACGGTATCTTGCTAGGAGCGTCACTCCTTTGAGCTGAGGTAGGGCCCCTTTCTGAGGGCCTAGAAGGGACAGCACCTGGAAGGGATGGCGCTGTGCCTTTCCTGAGTGACCATCTCTGAGAATGGGCTTAAAGCGGTTGAGAGAGGTGAGTCCCAAGGCTCAGACTTACAGCCAGGAATAAGGATTCCAGTAACTGCCTGAAGACAAACAGGGAAGGAGGAAAGGAAAAGACACGCTACAGCAGAAGGCATAGCTCTGGAGAGAGATGGAAAAGAAGGGGATTCTCCCCCGCCACCCGCTCAGTTGGCTCCCTCCTGGCCTGGCCGTGGCCTGGGGAAGGAGCAGATTGAGCCAGAGGAGACCTGGGCTACTCAGCTGGCCCGGAGGCTGGCCCAGGGGATGGCACTCGGTGCAGGGACAAAACCTGAGGCCAAAAATGGCCTTTGTCTCTGAGGAGAGCTCGAGCCAAGCTGAGGAAGAGTGAGCAGAGAGGGCACTGGGCCAGAGAAAACAGAGGAGCGAAACAGAGCCTGCTTCAAGCCACGGAGGCAGACAGAGGGTTTCTTTCTGAAGTCCAAATGTGAGTATAAATGGCGAAACATGTGACAGCCTTGCTGGGGAAGTGGATCGCACGGTACAAAGGAGGATCCGCTGGTAAAGCCCAAATATAGCTCATTTTCACCTCCTCAGACAAGCAGCCCTCAACACAGAGGCTCCCAGCCTCACTCCAGGGGCCTCTGGGGGCCAGGCAGTTCACCTCGCGGGACTCTTGTGGACTGTAGGGCATCTAGCAGAATCCCTTGACCTACCAGATGCCAGTAGCTCCCTCCCCCTGGTGGTGACAACCAGAACTGTTTCCAGAACTTGCTAGGGGTCCAGCCGGTGCAAGTCTCCTACAGCTGGGAGCTACTGACTTAACTGTTCTTGGGGAAAGTGTTTGTTACTTTGTTCAACTATTTCCCAATCTGTCTTTTATTCTTTTCATCAGTGCACGAGTTTGTTTGTTTTTTTGGTGACTCTGTCTTTAAACCCTGCTTTACAAAACGAACTGATTAGTTCATTCAAACAAGTTTCCTTCTTTTTAAAGTGGTAATGGTGACAAGAAATGATATCTTTAGAGGTCCAAATCAGACCGTATTTGAGCAAATAGTAGATAAATAGTGTCTTACTGACTAATTAGTGTGACACGGCAGACTTGCAGCAGGGCACGGAAGAAGTGTGGTACTCGGAAGCCCGGCACGGAGCCTGAAGTCAGGGGACCTGAGGCAGGTTTGCTCGGCTGCTCAAATTCTCTAAGCATCCGCATGAGTATAACCAGCCGGACATAGTCCAGGTAACGTTTTGGTTTTCCACTTTTGTGCATCTAGAAGCACCTACTGAAAAATTGCTACAAGGAAGCTTTCTGGAGGGTTGTTTGTCTGTCAAAATAGGACATAATAGCAAATGAATTATATCAAAATTGAAACTAATCCCTACGAAGGAACCCAGAAGAAGCATAGTTATGGAAAAATGAAACACTAAAAGCAAGGTAGATAGCTTAAAGTGGATCAGTTTTATGAGTCATATGTGAATAACTACAAGTCCTTATTAGGGACAGGAAAATAAATATTTTTAGCAAGTGACAGAAAAAAACATGCAGAAAAACACGAAGCTTTGTAAGAGGCTGAACCTGTCCTATTCACGAGAAACACTCTGAAAGTGAGACATTAAAACAAAGTTAGGTACAAGTAACAAATGGGTGATAGAACATTAAGCAGGTTGGTTATATTAAATTGACTTTATAGGGATTGATTTTAGACCAACTCAATTTAGCGAAATTGTTTTCTTAGAAAACCGTATTGCAGAGTTTATTCTAGTGTTAAAAGACCAATTTTAGAATAAAAGGAGGAAAGAATATAAGCAGATATAGGAAAACTAAAATAAAGCAGGGTAAAAGGGCCAGTTTCTGTCCAAAGACTATTATTATATTACAGACGTGGCTGTTAATACACTGAGACCTGTCCAAGATGTTCTGGCGGAGATGTATCTTTGTCTGCTTTCTGTTTTTATGAGAGAATGCAAGAGACCGGGACTTTAGAAGGCAAAGGAGTTTATTTAGCACTTGTTTCTGGCTTTTGTGAAAAATGCTATTGTGGTACTATGAACATTTTAGAGTGTCTGTTTACATTTCATTTGGGCAGTTATCTGAAGGTGGAATTTCTGGGTCAATATGGTAATTCTATATTTACAGTTTTTGAGGAAACATCAACATATTTTTCATTTTGTGCTCCTGCTAGCAAAGCGTAAGGTATCCAACTTCTCCATATCGTCACCAAAAGTCATGTTTGCCTTTCCTGGACTTCAGCTGCCCTTCCTGTCATATCCAAGAAGCAACAGGTTTCTTCCAGAAGACGTCAACATGTCCAGGGGACGGTGCATGGTCAAGTCCAGGAAGTCTTTCTTTCAAAGTAGTCTTACGGTGCGTAGGCACTGCTGGCCGGTGACTTCATCAGTGCGGAGCTTCAAAGACAAACTGCAAGCCTCACGGCTTCCTACAGTCCTAGTCTCATACGGTGATATCAATGTGGAAGAAATGCTCGGGAAGAGCAGAGTGGGGAAAATGTTTAGCCAAATGGTCAGTGTTGCCCACTCAGTGCCAGGGCATCCTGACCACAAATTTGGAACTGCAAGAAACAAGTCGTAGACCTCTGAACTCTGGGAGTGATAACATCTTGCAAGAGAAGAGAGAGTGAACAGGACCCATGACGCCAGCCTCAGTGGGTCCCGAGGTGCGTTTCCAGTTGCTCAGGGAGTGGATCCGCAGAGTCCAGGGACGGTGGGGACGGCAGTGGGAAGGAGCATCGAGGCTCACCAGGAAGGATGCGCGCGGAATCCAAGTCTGCCGGGGACAGATGTGCGCTAGGCGGGCTCCGACCAGGAAGGGGAGCACAGCCTCGCTTCCCGCCAGCGCCCAGTGTGGATGTGAAAACCTCAGTGGGAGAATCCACACGGTGACTTCTATGCATTGGTGCTTGTCCAACTTTAATGCATTTAAAAGTAACCTAGAGGCCTCATTAAAATGCAGATTCTGACAGTTGATCTGGGTGGGATTGAGATTTTAAATTCTTAATGAGTTCCAGTCTCCAGTGGTCCAGTGCTGGCAGACCCTACTTTGAGTATTAAGGCAATAAATTAAAATTTAGGTAAAACAAGAATGAAGCGGGGAACAAGGAAGACGAGGGTCTACACACCTCAGGGCTGTGCCTTCCCATAACGCCCTGGAATCGTTTTGGGGAAGATCTTTCGACATCTAAATTTCCTAGTCGGATCTACGACAGAACCCCTCTCGTAAGAACGTCCAGTAGTCATTTGTTGCTCTCCGATCTGTGTGACGAAGGATGACATGATGCTGGAGACGTTCACTCTTCCCGTTTTGTGGATTTTGGACATAGCCCACTGATGGCACAGACATCAATGCTTCAAAGAATGTCCTGGAATGGGAGAAGCTGCATAGCATCTAGATGGAGAACTGAGAAATATAAGCTACCCTGGGGAATGCCTTGACATAAAAATAGTTTTGGTCACTCTGATCTATTCTGTTGCACATTAGTGACCTGTGGGTCACAGTGTTCTAAGAATACTATTGCTGGATCGTGGAGCACCCCACCCTGGGTGTTGGGTGAAGGAGAAGTGGAGGTTAAATGCATTCCACTGCCAAGCAGCTAATAGAAGATGGCATCAGCATTCACCATATCAATACAGGGGAATGAAACTCCCAGCCGACTGTGTCCAGTACAAGTTCGTGTTCTCTAAAATCGAAGAATGAATTTTAGGAACAACGGAGGTTAAGAGCAGAATATATTTATTGAGAGAAAGAAAGCTTTTGTCTGAGGGACAGAAGAGGTCCTGAGCGGGTTGCCAAGGACTCTGTCTTTTCTAGGGATTTCTATAGAGTAAAATCATGGGGTGAGAAGGGTTTAAGGTGCAGAAAAAGGAAACTCAAAAGATGGGCATACAGCAGGACAGAACTATGGTTTCCCAATAAGATTAATTGCTTAGGTGAAATTGATTAAATTGGGGACAAATGGCGGGGAGCAAGTCGTGTAGAAAGCGGGCATTCTTAGAGGGCAGTGACTTCCCTAGGGGGTTGGCAGGGTGACTCCTGGCTTCCTCAGGGTGTTAGGGAGCCATTTAGAATACCAGCCCTTAGGGTATGGGTGCATTTATTTGATCTTTTGTTTTGAGGCCCGGCCCACAGCAGGAGGTGTCGGTCATCCCATAGTTGCAAGGTCTCTGCACTGGCTCCTTGAGGACCCAGCCCTGTCTCACTGCCTATAGTATTTCTAACTGACTCAGCTGCCTGCAACAATATCACTTTCCCCATGAATATTTAGTGGACTCTTCAGCTGGGCCAGTACCAGTGTGTGGAACAGACTGTGGATTCTCCTGCTTCAGTTAAATTCACATGTTAGCACCAATCCATGCATAGCACCCATCTGCTCTTCTTTTTGGTCTGTTTCTCCCATGACACTTATTTCTATGCTTCCGGAGACAGGACTCACTGCCAGAGAGGAGCGGTTCAAACCTGCAGACGCACGTGATGGCTGGTCACTCCAGAGGCCTCCCGGGAGCGACGCAGCAGTGGACGGGCGCAGTGGACATGAAGGACCACCGTGTGACCGTGCTGTTTTTCCTTGGTGTTCCAGGACTGGGACGGACTAAGGGTCGCAGAAAATACTGTGGCACAGAGCCAGAGAACCAGGGGCCGGGCCAAGCAGGCAGCAGCTTCTTATTTCTTACAAATTGAAGAGGTGGGGTCTTCCAACAGACTCAAAACTCAAAACTCAAAAACCAGCTGCACCTGTATGATGCCTCAGAGAGGCTGTCATTTCCTAAGGGTTCTAAGTACCAGCAATAAAGCACCCCACCACAGGCAATGTACAGGAATCCCCCAGGACTTAAACTGAAAGAGAAAAGCACGAGAGGACACTCGGACAAGATGCAACTCCTGACTCCAGCTCACCAGAGGCAAACCCAGGCGCCAGTGAGGTGGGATGATCCGAAAGCCCCCCCGGCCTCTCTGAAGTGGGAACAGAAAAGCAATTGAATGAGGCTCTGGAAAATTCTATACTTATTTCCACCCTTCCTCACATTGTTTCTCTAATGTTTTCCTGTAGAACTGGTTCATCTTCCTAATCCCAAACGTTCGCTACTGTTCTTTAGGCAGTTTGTAAAATATTTCAGAGGCCACTAAGGAAGTGGCTAACGCCTTCTCTGCTGAGCAGAGATTTCTCTTCCAGCCTTGGACTGCGTCACTGTTAGTCAGCCCAGGCAGCAAGGCAGGAGAAGCCAGCAGTTTCCTTTCCTGTCCTAGCCCGAAGAAGCCTGCAGGTCGACCACCAGGAGAGGTTCCGTGCCCCACGGCATGATGGGCGCTTCTCGGAGGCTCTTCTGGAAATTCTGGTGTGAACTAGCACTGTGGCTGGCACTGTCCCTGGACATACATCCTCTTGAGGGCAGTGGAGGGTGGAGTGGCACCCCCCACTCAGTTCTGTACAAAGCAATAACCACCATTGAGATCAAAATTGGAAACAAACAAATCCCATCTTCTGACATTAGTGACATACCCGTATAATTAGTGGGCAGAAGCAGAAACTTAAATTGCCCTCGTAAAATGAAAACAATCATTGGGATACACTTCATTCCTCTCATTTAATAGGAATCATTAGGCTTTTGTTTTACATGGAAAAGGGGGATCAAAGACATTAAAGGCCAATAATTTAAAATCAAAACAATGTTTTATTGAGTTTTCATAATTAAAGTAGATCAAGGACTTTTCAAAGTTCAGAAACAAAAGTGAATAAATTTAAGATGTAGTGTGGCAGGGAAGAAGGTTAAAATGCTAGATGTTCTATACATAAAATAAGTTCCTTCCCTCCTTCTTCGAATCTTGTTTGATAGAAAAACAGAGATGAATCATTTTCATTAGCTAAGCATGTTCTAACGTTCTATTAGCTAAGTGGAGCTCTCCTTGCATGCCCTGGTGGAATAATTTAAGCTAGGATTCTTCATGTGGCTCTGTGTATAAACATCTAACTTAAGAGTTTTCACTGAGATCCAAATCAAACAAAGTTAGTTAGCTTCATCTTCCAGGCAGACACTGCACAGGTGCACTCTTTGGAAAGGAGCCAGCTATAAAGTCTTGAAACTGAGTGCAGAAAAATTACCAGACTGCACTAACGACTGCAGGTTCTAGTTTTAATTACTTGAAGAGCAATTTATTCTAGTAGCCAAGAAGGATTTTGATCTCAGCTCAAAATGTCTGAGTAGGTTCCATTTTACTCTGCCCTAGAATCTAAATCTTTCTGTGTTTTAATTCCTCTACCATACTGCTTTTTGGAATACGCTGATACATGCAAAGTTCTTATGAGTTGAAATATGGGCGACCAGAAAGTGCTCACTCACTGTCTGTGTATTCTTGATTCACATGTCTGGAATACTTGGGGTAAATGATATCTGTGCCCTTTTGTTCTGCAAATGAACCTGAAAATCTCTAAGGACTAGTTTTATTGCAGAGGTTCCAGTAATTACACTTGATTGTGCAAGAAATTGATGGAGTAACAGTTCTAAATAATAATGTTTGGCACTCAAGCATGTGTCATTATCAAAGTGTTTTAATGGCGAATGAGCATAATACCCACGTTTGGTTGTAGTGACAAGCAGTCAGAGCCTTGAACTCTAATCACGAAGCATGGTTTCCTCGTCCTGTGCCACTTGGACACAGCTGAGTTGGAGAACTATGGGAAATTTTTCCTTCACCATTTTATTGTGTCTCACATAACCCATGAAGCTGGCAGAAAGATGATCTGTTTTGAACATTTTTCTCTTTTCTTTTTCTTTGTACCAGGGCTCGAACTCATGACCTTGCACTTGCCAGGCAGGCACTTGTGCTGCTGAGCTAAATCCCTGGCAACATTTTTATTTCTTTACAGGACAAGCATTAATTTAAACATTTTAACTTTACAAAAATATCTGGTGAGATCCTTTTATGGTATATGTGAGTTGCAACTCCAAGGCCTCTTCCGATTTTAGAGTATTGGATTTGACAATGTCCTTATCATTAATGCAGAAAGTGTCTTTACTTATAACTTAGAAATAAGATGAACTTTTAAGATGTAAGAGCATATAAGCCTCATACAGATTAGAGTTTGGAATTAAAATATTTTACATATTTAAGAGAGAAACTCAGATACAACTGTTATTAATTAACATTAAAATCAATTTAAGAATTGACTAGCATGTAGTCACTGTTTGGAAGCCTACTTCTATGATCAGTTCTAGTCATGGATGTCCATTGCTCTTATCTGGATTCACAGCTCTACTTAAGCTTTGGTTTAGAAAATCTCAAGGAACAGTTATTGTATAGGCCAGGAGAAGGGAGGTTTTGCTCAGATCATAAACTCTCCGCAGCACCCCAGTGACTTAGCACAGCGAGGGGTCCTGAGCTGGCAAGGGGCTGAATGGGAGAGGCCCTCTGCTCTCAGGGTCCAGCTGAGGCTTGCCCCGCTCTCTCGGACCTGCATCTGTTTAGAGCATTCTGCATTTGCTGGTGCATATGTAAGCAGGAATGTAAAGAAATCTCTTCTGTGATTGAGTCTGAAAGAGACAGTTGTCATTTCTGACCAGGTTCCGCTGGGCAGAAGTGGGTCAGAAGAAAGGCAAATGTACGGTGTGCCTCATCACTGACTTGATAATATTTTAGCTGTGTTATATATTTGCATATGCATGCATGCATTAGGAGTTACTGTAGTATTTTACATATACATATCGTGTATTTCATGTATATAGAGCTTGCTTTATTCATATTCATGATGAAAATTGAATGTAAAGTAAAATGTACCTTGCTCTTCTAATTTTTCTGGATCATTTCAGAGAAGGCATCCCACTGGGAGTCCATCTTCTCCAGCAGATAATGCAAAGACTGATTTTATCAAGCGCAGAGGATTAAATACCATATGGTTCCTGTCATATGAGAAATCTGAAGTATAAATACAGAGCAAAATAAAAGATGAATAAAAGCAAACGGTGATATAGAGCTACTACAAATCAGAAGGAACCGGAAGATGAAGCCGGGGGAAGGCAGAAGCCGGAAGGGGCCATAAAAATGGGATTAGGATGTATCAGCTACGTGCACCAAACACAACAAAAGCGGTCATTATATATGGCAAACGTGGACTAATAAGTTAAAAAATAGAAACAAAGACTGTTTTCAACGTCTGCTCTGTGGAACACTTTGCTCCATTCCTGTGAGCCTGTCAAATGGAGAGCGTATCATATGGCCTTTGCACACTCAGTCAAAACCCACGTCACACACTGTACCATTGAGGAAAGGCCACTGTGTACCTTTCGTGGCGTTCAGCCTGTCCTGCTGCTCTGCCCACTGTCCTTCCCTGGGAGTTACCACCCAGCTCCCTAACCCTTTAGGCTCTGGATGCCACCAAGGCCCTCGCTAGACGGCTCTTGTTGAGCTCTTTAATGGCCTCCTGATCTTTCACCCCCTGGGCTCAGGTGTGACCTAACCTGTGACGCTTGGCACCTCTTCCTTTCTCAATCATTGCTCTGTGACCTTTCACTTCTGATTCCCTGGCCCTGGCCTGGCCACGTCCACTCTTCTCCCTGAAATCCACGTCTGCCTTTAGATTTGCAGCTCCTTGGGCATCCATCTGCGATGCTCTGCTCTTCCCACCGCACACTGGTCATCCTCCAGGCCCAGGCCCAGCGGTGGGGCAGCAAATAGTAGGCCAGCCCAGTGTAGAGGCGGAATGTCCGGACTGCAGAGATTGTCACAGCGGAGGAAGGCGCCAGGACACGCTGTACCACCAGCCTCTTCCCCAGGAAGTTTCTCAAGTACGTGTCGCTAAGAGCTGCTCATGGAAGAACTGAGCAAGTCGGGGTGTCAGAGGACAGCGTGCGAGGAGAGAAGTTAACTTTGAAGTTCTGCAAAGATTCCTCAAAAAACTTAAGACTGGAGGTCTTGTTTGACCCTGCTATCCCTCTTCTGGGTATTTTCCCAGAAGAACTGAATACATCACAGCACAGTGACATCTGTGCACCATGTTTATTGCAGCACAGTGTGGAACAGCTAAACCTTGGAAACAAGACAAATGCCCATCAACCTAGAAGTAGATAAAAAAAGATGTGGTATGTTTATGTAATGGAGCACTACTCAGCTATAAGGAAGGATAACTTGAGGCTTTTACAGGTAAATGGATGCAACTTGAGACCGTACTCATAAGTGAAGTAAGTCAGACTTGCACGTATAAACATGCTGTCTCCCTAGTTAAAAAGCCAACAGAGTAAATAAGATCCAAAATGTGCAGTAGATATTGTGAAAGTGAAAAGGGGAAGAAACTACTCAAAAGGAAAGAAAAATGGGATTGGGGAAAGGAGAAAAGAAAGAAAAGATATTATAAATATAATAGAAAATTATACCACTAATCTTTATAAATTCATCAAAAAATGGTTTGTGCTTTCATTGTTTGATCATTTTTCAGGCCTCTAACATGTAATCTGAGTAATTAACTACTTTGAAGATAACAATACCCATTATAGTAACCATTGTTAATCTCCTATTATTTTGTTTTAAAATTCTGTGTCATCGTTTTTATTATTTTCTCATGTACAAAAAGCAGCAGGAAAACCCCCAACTAGTCACAGGCAAGCCAGCTGGCCTGCAAGTGTGAGTGACACACTGTGCTTCCATCTTCGTACCGTCCTCCAAACTTTCTGGACCCCTGTGTGGGCAGCCTGAGCCTCTAGCTGCGAGGCCACATCCACTTCATTAGACACATAAGTGGGGACCCCGTAGGGAGCACAGTGTGAACAAGTGAGGCCCTTCAATGCCCTGGAGGGAGAGCGGAGAGGCTGAGGGACAGGTGTGGACAGGGATAGGGGTTCCACTTGCTGTTTTGGAAATTTGCACTGACACAGTCATAGCACAGCCAGGAATACACACGCCCTGTCTCGCAGTGGGGGTCAGAGATTGTTCTAGAATGAGATAATCCCCTGGGGTTGGCTGGTTCAGGGCCTGGTGCTCGCAGAACCAACGGGAGCTCCCCAGTTCCAGCACACAGCCGACAGTGTTAGTGACTTGTGGCACCTTGGGGGTTAATGCAGGCTTTAATATAGTTATTATTACACAGCATGGCCACATCAAGTCCCATGAAGAATGAGAAAATCAAGACACTCAGGAAAGACTGCCAATCCTCTCCAGGAAATGCCATATTTTCTCTTTGCAAAAGTCCTACACATCTTTCAACACGTTAAGTGTCTCACAGCGTGGGAGCTCCCCCGCTCCCTGGCAGGCTGAATGGCCTTGTGTGCCCTGTGTGTCCTTTTCTGTTGTGCTGTTTTGCCCATGTGTCAAAATCACGAGTCTCTCCGTCTCATCAGTGGACTGCACACCCCGAGAGCTGTACATCTATTTCGGATTCCTACCATTGTGGCTGGCATCTAGAAAGTCTTCAGGAAACTTTGGATAAATGCAAATGTGAAGCCACAAGTTCTCAGAGCCAATCTGGGAAGTCGTGGCCTAAGGATGGACACACCTTCTCAGGTGTACGTGGAGCCAGAGAGATGAAGGGCCATCAAGAGAGAGACGGGGGTTTGCGCAGCTGAGGAATTCAAGCATCAGTACCCTTATTTCATGAGCTGCTCCGTCCGGAACACCGTGAGGAAATGAATTGCTGGGCCTTCCCTAAGCCAGTGTACTGGGGACACAACTAAATATGGTTTGAAACTGGCAAACATGGGATCGTTCAGTTCTGAATAATTTCACTATTTTTCCCCCAAGAGACTGATCAGCTCAGAGAGATTACTCCTAGCAGCATCCTGGTAACCTAATGAAATCACCATGGAACACTCAGAAAATGATTGCAGACCTCTGTCAGTGACAATGGCTGACACTGGTCCACTTACTGCCCTGTCTGAACAAAATCTCAGGAAAGCCCATGCAACACCGCCTGGCCAGTGGATCACGGTCGGCGTATTGGTCCATAACCAGCCTTGCAATGGTTATCAAACCAGTGTACTTAAAAAACAAACAAAGTAACACCTCTTTCCTCAGTCTGAGAGGGAACTTGGCCCATTTTCTCATAAAAAATAAAAGTTTAGCCAGGGGAGAAGGCCTCCGGCTCCTGAGTGTGGGCTGAAAGAAGAACAGATGGCCTGAGGGATGTCCCCGGGAGCCACGTCCTGTCTCCCTGGTTCTGAGGGCTCAGGCTTTGTCCTGGAGCCGTGGGAGAGGCGGCCCTGGTTCCCTCAAGCTTGGCTCCGTGAGTTGGCAACTGACGGCTGGTACAGCTCACGGTGTCTGCCTTTTCATTAGGCTGTGGACACGGAAGCGATTCACAGCTCAGAACTGAATCCCTTGCCCTTCAGGAGCCTGGCAGCCCCGATGTTCTGTGAAAAATTACCGGAACCCCTCATTGACATCTAACCACTGTAGAGTTCCCCAAATTTCGTGGTCATGCTTTCAGAAGGTTTTGACTGCTGTTATTTCTACACGGCTTTGCACAGTGCTTGCCACTGTCGGTCTCCTCCTCTGTCCTGGGGTGGAAACAGGGTGACATCCCCACAGAACTCTGCCCCATCGTCCTTGAGACAGGAGCCCGGCCCTCTTATGGTCAAGATCCATCATCCAAGAGCCATGTCTGGAGCAGCGGGGCTGGCTCTCTACCGGTTCTGTGTGCGAAACCACCGCCTCCACATGAGACTGCACAGTGTCAGTGCGTCTGTGTTTCTGTGTCTGCCTCCCTCCTTCCTTTATATCTGTAACGAGCCCCTGTCAGTCTACACCCCTGCCTTCCTGCTGAGAGTCTAACATCCCCAGGGGTGAACAGTGTAGTGAATGGATCTGTCTGTGCCCTTAGGATGTTACTAGTTATGTATCCTTAGAAGCGTGAAAAAATGGTGAACCCAATCATCTTTCATGCTTTTCAGTTCCTATGAGCAACTTTGGTGGAGAAGTGTTTGGCAGATGTTGAGATCCGCAGCAGTGGGAAGCGGGCTGAATCATCCAGCGCCGTCCTTTTCCAGAAGGCTGAGGGCGGCAGAGGGGGACTGGCTGAGAAGGAATGAAACTCAGGCTTCTTGGTCTCTGACCCCTTTCTGGGTCCTTGGGCCTTATCTTATGCTCCTGCTTTTAAGATCTTTTTTTTTTCTTAAAGAGATCTGTCTCCCCATCTCAGCTGAAAAGGCTTCAAATGCCGCGATGAGCTAGATAGTTTTCAAGTTCTGAGACTATTGCAGGGAATAAAACACAAAAAGCTACCTGCCTCCTGCAGTGTGTATTTCAATGAGAAATCACAGACATTAAAAGAAACATCAGCACACACAGACTATATAAATTCATACACAGTGTGTGGCCAGGGAAGGCCATCGTGAGAAGGTGAAGGGTGAGTAAATAGAGGCAGGCCAGGCAGCATTTGTGGAGGTCCCACCAGAGAAGCGCAGGCACAAAGTCCTGCATGCAAGGCAGGGTGGTTTTTTCGGTATCAGGAACTGAACTCAGGACTTTGTGCTTGCCAGGCAGGTCTTGTGCTGCTGAGCTATATACCCGGCCCCAACGGCTGCACCCACGGACTTTCTAAGGGTCAGGGATCAACATTCTATTTTTTTTTGCAATTGGGAATCAGACTCAGGACCTTGCACTTGCCAGGCAGGCTCTGTGCCACTGAGCTGTTTTTGAACTCTGACTGTTTTTGAGGTATAATTCACATACTATAAAATTTACAAATCAGTGGTTTTCAGCATATTCACAAAGTGGTTCAGTCTTCACCACTATAATTCCTGAATGCTTTCTAACAGAAGAAAACTTGTAAGAACACTATTCACAGTAGCCAAAAAGTGGCAACAACCCATATGCCAGTCAGAAAACACACAAGTTAATAAAATACAGGGCATTCATATAATAAAATATTAATTGGCAAAAAAGAAAGGAAGTACTGACATATGGTATAACATGCATGAAAGTTAAAGCCTAATGCTAACTTTAAGAAACCTGTAGGCAAAAATCATGTATTGTATGATCCTATTCTTAGAAAATGTCCAGAAGATGCCAGTCCAGAAAGACAGGAAATAGAGCAGAGGTTGCCTGGGACTGAGGGTGACGGAGTGGTGGAGAGCGATGCAGGGCTCCTGGGTTTATTTTGAGAGTAACAAAAATGTTCTAAAATTGTGGGGATGGGCACACAGTGCCATGACTAGATTAAGAATCACTGAGTCCAGTGTGTAGTGTTTTCCACAGTGATTGTACTGTGGTGCCTCACCGTCAGCAGCGTGCGAGGAGTTCAGTTGGTTCTCATCTCTGCTAGCACTTTGCACTCGAAGGTCTGTTTTAAAGAATTTATTTTTTAGAGCTGTTGCAGGCTTGCAGTAGAATCAAGAGGAAATCACAGAGGTACCATGTGTAGTCTCCTCTAGCACATGCACACCTGCTTGCAGTGCCATCACCCGCCCCTAGAATGGAACATTCGCTGTCACTGAGGAGGCCGTATCAGCCTTCATCATCACCCAGAGATCCTGCCTTACCTCATGTTCGCTCTTGGTGTTCTACATTCTACGGCTTTGAACAAGTGTAAAGTGATATTTCTCTACTTTTATAGTGTAGAGCAGAATTTTTTCTACTATTCCTCTGTGCTCTATCTCCATGGTTTTTCACAAGAAGTCAGCTGTTAATCTTCCGGGGTTTCTTGACCATTGTCATGTTTGACACATTGCATCAACTTGAGAAGTTTAGAAGTTTGACTCTGCAGGGAGCCAGGGTCCATTACTTTGTAAACCACATCCTGTGCAAGAGGAGGGCAGGGAGATGGCCTGAGTGCTGCACCGTTACACAGAGGGTGTTAGAGGGAGGCCTGCTTTCCATCTAGGGGAGGAAGAGAGCTTTGTTCTCTCCTTTTCCATCTTCTGCCTGCTTGCAATGTTGCCTCCGAGCCACGCCACCCTGCCTTGGAGTCAGCTGATTATGCGCTGAAACCTCATCAGACTGTGAGCTAAGTAAACCTTGCCTCCCTTAATTTTGGGTGCCAAGTATTTTGTTCCAGCAGCAAGAGAAAAGTAATCAAGACAACCATGGTGAGTCTCTGTTTTTCTTGTTGTCTTTGGATTTTGACAATTCGACTATGTTTCTCTGTAGATTTCTTTCAGTTTAATGTGCTTGGAGTTCGTTATGCTTCTTCAATGTGTAGTTTCATGTTTTGTATCAAATTATAAAATTAGGAAGTTTTTAGTCATTCTTTCCTCTGTTAGTCTTTCTGTCCGTGTCAGTCACGTATGGGTATGTGTAACAGTGTACTCTGTTTTCATCCTTTACTGTTTCTTAGATTGAATGAACTCAGCAGTTTACCCTCAAATTCACTAAGTCTTTTTTCTGCTATTGTGCCTCTAGTGAATATTTAAGTTTTGTTCTGTGTGCTTGTGTTTCACTTCCAGAATTTTCTATTTGGCTCTTAAAAATAATCT